CACTTTCTTACTTTAAGGCTGAATAATATTCTGCTGTATGGATATGTTACATTTTGTTTTTCCATTCACCTATTGATGGGCATTTGGGCTCCTTCTACCTTTTGGTTATTGTGAATAATGCTGCTGTGAACATGAGTGAATAAGTATCTGTTCAAAACCCTGCTTTCAATTTTTCTCCCATTTGAATTTTAGATAAATGATTTATATTGGAATTTTAGATAAATGCTTGCTGTAGAGGCTATGAGAGACGTCCTTACTCTATTACAGCATGACTTGAATTAGCAATTTCAGTTTCCTGAATATCATGAGAGCCTCAAAATAGCGTAATTCCCTTTACTGCTCCTACCCCCTCTGTGCTTTCTGTCACGTGATTTACTTTTACACTTCACAAATCTCATGATACATTGTTGTTGTTGCTTTACATAGCAACTTATTTCAAAGCAGTTCTCCTATTTATCCACGTATACACTTTTCCGGTGATTGTCATTTTGTCCTATAGTTCTGTATGTCCATCTGGAATTGTTTTTCTTGAGCTTGAAAAACTTGTAGTGCAGGCTTTCTGGAATTGAATTCTCCAATTTTTATTTCCTGGGCTGAAAATGTCTTTATTTCACCTCAGTTTGCAAAGGCTATTTCCACTGAGTACAGGATTTCTTATTTGGCAGTTTTCATCTCCCTGTAGACTTTAAAGATACCATTTTAGTCTTCTGTCTTCTTTCTCATGAGAAGCAGGCTGGTATTCTAATTGTTGTTCCTCTGAAATATGTTTTGTTTTTAGTTCTGCCTGCTGTTTTAAATCTCTGGCTTTTAGTAGTTTGATTATATTGTATCTAAGATGTGGTTTTCTTTGTATTTATCATTGTATTCTTTATTAGCCGAGCCTCTTGAGTCTGTGAATAGGCCACAGGGCCTAGGCATGTGTTACCCCTTGTACAGGGAGCACCCTCCTTTTTACTGTGTGTCTAGTGTTATGGACTAAATGTACGTGTCTCCAAGGACTTCATATGTTGAAGCCCCAACCCACTGTGGGGCTATTCTGGAGCAAGTAATTAAGGTTAAATGAAGTGATAAGAGTGGGGCCCTGTTCCAGTATGATTAGTGTTTTTCTAAAAAGAGGTACCAGGGAGCTCACTCTCCCTGTCTCCCCCCACACACCTATCAAGGAAAGGCCATATGAGGACATAGCAAGAAGGTGGCCTTACCAGAAACCAAAGTGGCTGGAACCTTGATCTTGGATGTGCAGCCTCAAAAACGGTTTGAAAATTAATTCCTGTTGTTTAAGCCACCTGGTGGATGCTATTTTGTTATGGCAGCCAAGCAGACTAATGCATCTAATTTAACCCTGATGTTTTCCCTGTAGATCTCATACCTAATGTTTCCCTAAACATACCCAAGCCAAAGCCTCCTGTTTCAGTACCTCCTGGTACCAGACACCATGGAAGATTTATGTTGTTGATTGCTTGACCAATGTCTGCTTACTTACTCAACTGTAAGCTCCGTGAAGGTCTATGTTTTAATTCACTGTTGCATATCCAGAACCTAACAGAGGCCCAGGTACATGGTAGGGGCACAGTACATATGTTTTGGAGAGTGGTGGGTAGGGACAGACAGTGCCTTGAACTTGGAGACTTCCTGGATATGCAAGCTCATCTCTGCTCCAGCAGAAACTGCACATAGATATGTTTTTAACATCTGGGTATATATTTATTAAACAATCTGAGGATATTAACATTAAGAACCGTATCTAAATGAAGCTGCCTTCACATCTGCAGCTATGTGACATCATCCAATAGCTAGCTGATACGCAGATTGAAACTGCATGTTCAGAAAAAAAACATGTGACTCCAGGTCCCAACCTGTGATAGGACCGGGGCTCCTGCCCATCATGCCTGGCTCAGGTCCTGGGCGGGGCTGGCTGGGCTGCCTGTGGAGGTAGCAGAACCCCAGCTGTGGGGGCTGGCAGAAGACACGCTCTGACATCAGAGCTCTGACCTCATCCTGGTCCTTCCCTGTGCTCTGCCTGCATTGTGATATACTCTTTTGTGAAAAGGAACTGGCATGTACATCAAGTAGCATTTTCAGCTTCTCTTCCTGCCATTGTTCAGAGCTCAGACTCTTTCCACCCATGAGTTTATAGCACTGGTTACAACTCAGAGCCATGCAGTGAACAGTCACAGTCGGCACACTTTGGGTTTCAAGTATAATACAGACTGCAGCGCAAATGAGAGTCAACAACAAAGGGAATTGATTGACTTAGCTTAACTTTATTTGGTAGAAGGATTCAGGTAGGCCTTGATCGGAAACTCCAACTCTGTTTCTGTTCAGTTCTTTCTGTCTTTCCTTAGTCTGTGTTTTGGCTTCATCTTTAGGCTGGTTCTCCTCCTAGTTACAAAATAGCTGCCAGTGGTAAAAGGTTCCTTACTGAAATGCAGGGAGACAGCGAGGGTCTTATGCAATTATTGTGATGAGGTGAATATTGGGTACTGATAGATGTAGGCCAGGGTAACAGGGCTACCCCTGAAGCAATCAATACAAGGTGCATGAGATTACTTCAACTGGCTTAGACCACAGTCCACACCCACATTTGGAAGATGGGGGTCCATCCCACTCAAATTGACTCAACGCTGTACAGTGGGGAGTGAGAGAGACTGGAAGTTAAGAAGATGCACCTGTCAGGATAGGCTGGGTTTTGCTGTGGTAACAAGCAAGCACCAATCTTGTTCCATAATGGCAAAGGTTTATTTCTTGCTTATACAACATGTCCACTGTGAGTCACCTAGGGGCGTTATTCCATGATTTCTCACTCCAGGACCCAGACTGATGGAACTATTACTGTCTCAAGCATTGTCTATTGTTGTTACTGAGGGAATGAAGAAATTAAAAATTGCCCACTAGCTCTTAAAATTTGGACCCGGGAGTGACATACTTTTACTCCTACTTTATTGACCACAATAAAAGCAAGTGACAGGGCCACTCCTGACACCAAGGTGTGAAGTACAATCCTATCATGGGCCTGGGAAGCAAACTCAGAATCTTTGGTGGCCTAGCATTAATGTCAATTACCACATGAGGCCATCAGAACACCCACTACAGATGGCTTCTGAAGACCACCCCAGTGCTTGTCCACGTTTTGCTGGGGGGATAAAAAGCTTCTCGTTTTGATTACTACCTAAAAAGAGGCCTCCTGCCTTGGCTTCTGTAGCTCAGTGAATTGAGCTCGGGCCTGCAAACCAAAGGATCGCGGTTCGCTTCCCAGTCAGGGCACATGCCTGGGTTGCAGGCCAGTTCCCAGCAGGGGACACATGAGGGGAAGCATACATTGTATTTCTCTCCTTCTCTCCTTCCCTTCCTCTCTAAAGATAAATAAAAAAAAAGAGACCTCCCTACTATGCAGAAATCAGAAACTCAATAATCATCTCTTATGTCACAGTCAAATGTCTCCCAGATGTTTGCTCATAAAGTGACATCAATGGTTCTTTGAGGGACATCTATTAAAATATCTCCTCTACTCAAAACAATCCCTTTTTTGTGTGTGTGGTCATGATCCACAGAGGTGGGTTCCTGGTGAACTACATCACTTGTATGGTGGTCGTCATTGTTCTGGAGGAAGGGGAACCCGACTCAAGCTGGGCCAATGAGAGCCTTTTCTCTGGGATTTGGAAATTCAAATGATTAGGAATTTTTTAGTCTCTGGGGAATTTGGAATTGTCACAGGACAGGACTTGGGAGTGGCTGGCAGACATACGCCTCATTTTATTATCTGGAAACAGAAAACAAGTTTGCAGAGAGAGAGGTTCCTTCTGGTAAAACTTGCTTTGCTTCCAATTCATCCAGAAGTCCAGCTGGGTTCTTGCCCTTGACCTGAGAGGACCTTCTCCTTCTCCCCCCGAAACACTTTGATTTCTCCTTTTATTTTCCTTTAACTGGCCTGATGGGTAACTGGACCTTGCAGCCAGCAAACTCTGAACTGATACATGCTTTGCCTCTGGACCCTGACATCAAACAGTCACAGGTGTAGCTCATTCCAATAAAATTGAACTCAGGTTGTAACTCTGTTGCATCAATTATACATCTGACAGTTTTTTCCCCAGCTTGAGAAAATTCATCAGAATATAAGTGAGTACAGGTGACATTATAGGGACCACCTGGAATTTGCTTAAATCTTTTTAAAGAAAAATGTGCCTCGTTAATAAACATGACCGTCACGCACCTCCCCAAACTGGTATGAAGTGCATGCTGTTTTCTCTGCTTGGAGTCTTGTGCTTACTCTCTCTTCACGTCCAGCCGAATGTCTGCCCAGACAGCTGCTAATCTGCTCATGTCAAGTAGGTTCAGGATTCCAGCTCTGGTTCCATCAGACTGCAGAGCTCTTTATTAATCACTAGATTAATCACTAGATTCTACAGGTGGGGGCCACTTTCGGAGCACACTTGCTATAGACTTGGGCTCTGTGACAAAAGATGGGGCCTGGAGCTTGTGACAAAACCTCGGAAAAGGGCCCACTCCCACCCCAGGGTAGAGGTTACACAATAGAAGCTGTGAATAAAGGACGGGGGTCATCGCACCTGAAGGGGCTAATTGATGCTTTAAAGTTCTCAAGTGCCTTAAGATTGAATGTTAAGGAAAGCAGTTATCAGAAGTTGCTGATCTGTTTAGGAAACTGGAGAGTTTCAAAACTGCAGTGACGTGCTAGTTGATGGGATAAAAGAAAGGCCGACTCCCAAGGTGACGCACGTTGGGAAACGCTGGACTGGGGGAGGGGTCCGGGTCGGCCTCTAACCCTTGCCCTGCCCACATCCTTTTGAAAGTGTAACCTGGCCTGGCCTTTCTTCGCTGTTCCTCTGGAAAGACCAGGATATGGAGTACAAAAGCCGGGAACCTCTGGGGCCGCGGCATCCGCCCATGCCCCCTTCTCACCCACCCGCTGCAGGTTGCCTGCCCGGGAAGAGCGGACCGAAGCCCGCGCATGCGCCCAGGACAAGGTCCGCTCAACACCACGTCAGGGGGCTAGCGCCCCAAGAAAGGCCCGCCCACCAGGAGCCAAGGGCGCCAGGGGCGGGGCCTCGGACCACGCCCCCAGCCGAGACGAGCAGGGGCCGAACGGAGCCGAGTGTCTCCGAGCACGGCCGAGCCCAGCCGAGTGGCCGGGAGTCGGTTGGTGCAGCTGCGTCCCCGCCGCTCAGCAGTCTGCGGCTCCGGCGTCGCCGGCGTCGCCTCAGCGGGGCCTGCGCCGGCCCGCAGGCCGGCCGCCAGGAGGGAGGCCCGGAGCGCGCAAGAGCGGCCCGGCCGCGGGCGCCGCCGCTGCAGCTGCCAGGTGAGCGCCTGCCGTGGCCCGCCGGCCCCGTGTGCTCCCCGCGAGTGTCAGTTCCCGTGTCTGTGTGTCTCTCTGCCTGTCAGCCCTCTGTGTCTGCGCGAGCTCCTTCCCGCCACGCCTGACCCTCAGCCCTGCCCGTAGTGCCCGCCAGCCCCTCCCGCCCGCGGCTGCCCCGGGTCTTTCTGTCAGCCGCCAGCACCCCCTTGCTGGGAGGCTCCGCCCCTTCCCCCCGAAGCCCCGCCCCTCGCCCATCTGTCATCACCCCCTCCCCCAGCTCAAGTCTAGGGCGTCCTGGGGGCGTGGGGTGCCCCCGCTCCTGGGGGTTACCCTGGCTCCCATCAGGCAGACAGCTGCGTAAAGAGCAACCGGGGGGTTATGGAGGGCGAGTGGGGGTCTGCAGATGCCCGCCTGCCATGTGAGGGTGCGTGTCCGTGGGTGTGCCGGGTGGGCGCTGCGTGTGCGCCCGAGAGCAGGGAGGGGAGCGCGGGGGACGGCCTGATGGACGTGAGGCGGAGATGCTGGGAGGCCAGAGTCACTTGCTGCAACTCCCGCCAGCCCGTTTGTCCTGCGGAGATGGGCTGGCCCCTGCCTCTGGGAGGCGAGTGAACCCAGACTCGACCCGTTGGGGTACAGTAGGATCCTGAATCCTGGGACTCTCATTTGGCCACGCGGGAACAGAAGACCCGGGCGCCAGGTTCCCGGATCCCGCGAGTGGAGTGTGAGCGGAGTTTGGGGCTAGTGAAACCTTCCGGGCTTGGGATTTTCATTCGGAGAACCTTGTTGGAAGTGATCGAGGAGCGGGTGGGATGTGGCGCTCAGGTGCCTGTGTGAGAGCTGGAGTGGTTTGCATTTCTGAGCAGTGATTGCCTTGGGCTTGCGCCCTGGGAGAAGCTGTTCTGTGATGGCCGGGTGGGGGGGGGGGTGTTAGGCAGGCGAGGAGGGAGGCCAAACTACTTTCTGTTTTTATCTGTGTTACGCGAACACATAGTATACTTATTCGTGAGACCTCTACACATTCTCACTTTAAAAAGATTACTGTAGCTTCCATTTATATACATGCGCTTCTAGGTGGTTATCTTGATGTTCTTTATTTGTAGTAACTTAGTATTGCAGTATTTCAAAACTAAGAGAAAATGCGTCCCAAAGCAATTTGGTATTTTGCCGGATTATTCTCAACCACGGGGTTGAGAACCAAAAGCGCACTTCATTAGCTGGAACAACTTATTTGGGCTTAATTTGTTTCTAAGAGACATACAGTGGAAAAATCCAGAAGAGCAAAGTAGTATCAAAGAGTCTTAGGAAATTAATGAAAAGGGCTTTCTATTGCTGCCCTGGAAAGATGGTAATCAAAGTTGCTTTAGAGGACAGAGCTACTATGTAATGATAAACATATTAACCAAGTGGGTTTTGTGACCTTGATACATGGAGCAGTGCTTGATCTGTGCAATGCTCCACAACAGGCAAACATTGCAGGGGCAGTCGGGTAATTTTGGGAGAAATGTTCTCCTGTGTTTTGTTTTTCAGTTTTTAATACTTAAGATTTCAGACTGAGGCAGTCTCACAGTGGGAGTGGTTCACCCCCCCCCCCTTAAGATAACATTAAAAGTTACAAAAGTGATTCATGTGTAAGGCAGAAAAGCCTAAGAAAAAATTCACAATCCCACAAACCATAAGTAATCCAGTTTGGTATTGATCTTTTTAGTCATTTGTCCCCATGTGTAAGTATTTTTTTCTTACAAAAAATGCAACCATACTTTAAGATTGTTTTATTGTATGTTGTTTTTTTTTTACTTACAAATAGATTATGAGAGATATCTATTTGGTTTGTTTTTATGAGTAAGAACTTACATTCCCTGTGCTATCTTTTTAAAAAGTTAGAACTCTGCTTAGAGTACTGAATAGCTTCTCATTTTATTGTATACCCTGAAGCCCTTGCCTGCTGGGCTGCCTCCCTGCCCTCACTTTCAGCCCTGCTGGACAGATCTCTTTGCTATGCCTTAAAATATGCAGTGCCCTTTTACTTGCTCTTCCCTCTGCCTGGAACTCCGTTTCCTGGGCATCAGAGTTCTGGCTGGAGGTTTCTGCTCAGGTATAACCATCAGCCTTTCCCTGACTATTGTGTGTAAAATACATTCCATTCTCCAGTCCTCCTTAACCCACCTCACTCGTCTTCATAGCACTTATCTCCACTTGGAAAATACATACGTGGTTATTTGTTATTTTGTTGTCTCTTCCTCTGTTAACCCAGAAACGGGAGACTTTTCCACTGATACAACCCAAGGGCCCGGACACATCCTGGGTGCTTAATCAGTATTTGTGGAATAAATAAATGAATGAATATTCATTATCCACCTATTCACATGACCTTCCTGGTGGCCTCCCAGGCTTTTACATAGCTAGATAATGAAATGGGATAACAGTCCCTTCAAAGTCAGCATAGCCCTGTCCTTTACATATCTGAGAAGAATTTTACAAAGTGAGCCTCGATTTTAAAAAAGAATTAGTGTTGATTTCACTTCACAATTGAGGTAAGGAACATTTTTGGCAAACATTACTGACTTGCCTTCTAATACACCAACCTTTCTGTCACAATGGAAATCTCTGAGACGTATAAAGTACCCCAGTGATGTTTACAACTGTGATTTCAGTTGGGTGGTTCTTGAGCGAGAGTATAAGCCTCAAGAACGTAGTGAGTTTTTTGGGTCAACAGATACCCAGAGATGTAATTACAGCTTTGGTGTATTTTCATTTGAGGAGTAACTGTTACACTTACATATTTTTTTCCTGGCAATTCTCCCCTTTTCACTTCTTTGCTTATCAGTTTTTTTGGATGGCTAGCAGGTATACTTAAGGTTTTTGTTCTTGTTTTTCAACATTTTAAAATAAATCCTTGATCTCTTGGGCATTTCACATCTCCCATGTGACTCCTGAACTGTTTGAAAGGACCAGTTTCATCTTTCAGGACAAAATGACATCAGTAATAAAACATATCATTGCATTTTTATTATAAGGATGGGAAAAACTGAGTCTTAAGGTAGAATGTTTACAGAGAGGACATAGAATGAGAGTAAGCTTTTTAAAGCCTTGAATTTCAAGTAGGTTACTTGTAATTTTAGTGCATTTTTGAAAAAAATCCTCGCTTTTGCTCTTAAGGAAAAGGATCCCTCTGAAAACAATTCAAACAGAGAACTTCAAATATTTTTTCATTTTCAAAACATTAAAAAACATTTTATTTATTTTTAGAGAGAGGGAAAGGGAAAGAGAGGGAGAGGGAGAGAAACATCAGTACGTGGTTGCCTTTCAAACGCCCCCCACTGGGGACCGAGCCTGCAACCCAGGCATGTGCCCTGACTGGGAATTGAGCTGGCAACCTTTTGGTATGCAGGCCTGTGCTCAATCCACTGAGCTACACCAGCCAGGGTCAGAACATTTTCTTTAAAAATATTTTGTCTATTAATTTTTGAGAGGAAGGGAGGGAGAGAAACATCAATGCGAGAGAGAAACATCAATCAGTTGCCTCTCATAGGCACCCTTACTTGAGGACCGAACCCACAACTCAGGCATGTGCCCTGACTGGGAATTGAACTGGCAACCTGTGCTCTGTGGGACAACACCCAACTGAGTCCACACCAGTCAGGGCCAGATTGTTTTTCTTTTCTTTTCTTATGATTTTATTTATTTATTTATTTTAGGAAGAAGGGAAGGGAGGGAGTAAGAGAGGGAGAGAAACATCAACGTGTGGTTGCTTCTTGCAAGTCCCCTGCTTGCGGGGGGACCTGGCCCACAACCCAGGCATGTGCCCTGACTGGGAATTGAACCAGCAACCCTTTGGTGCAGGGCCATCACTCAATCCACTGAGCTACACCAGCCAGGGCTCGATTATTTTTCTTAGGACCCAAATATACAAGAACTTGTGGAAAAAAACCCTAAATGAACATTTTATTCTTTTAAAGGCCTAGAGGGAATGTGTTAAGAATTTGTTTTTAACTTTCCTAGAGGCTTCATTGGAGCATATTTGGAGCACTTCCGTGTGTGTTTATGTGGGTTACAGCACCGTGTTCAGTTTCAGATCACCAAGTGATTTTTACCATGCCTCTGTCGTTCGATTACCTCCCTTCTCTCACCATCCTTTCTCCCTAAATGATCTCATTTATTCCCAGGACTTCCATATCCTCTAGATACAGATGACTCCCTCAGTTACACCTCCCGCCTGGGCCTTCTTCTGGTTCCAGACTTGCATTTCCAGCTACAGCCCTCCTGTTACCTGACTTATTGGCCTCATAGTGATCTCCAGGTCCACACATCCAGAATCAACCACTTCCAAATTAGTATTCTCATTTCTGACCCCTTCCTCCCCTCTCCTCCAGCCTTCCCTGTCTTATTGTCACGACTACTCACTCATTGTTCAGGCCAGACACCTGAAAGTCATCTTTCAGGTGACTGAAAGATGATCAGGTGATCATCTTTTCAGGTGATCATCTTTTCAGGTGATTCTTCCCGATCCCTCACCCCACGTTCAATCCATCAGTGTGGCCTGTTGGCCTATCTGGCAAGACACCAGAGGTCCTCCGTCCCCTCCCCACTCCTAATGCACCCACCGTCCTCAACTGGATGACTGCCCCTACCTTTTATTACCATACCTAGCTTCCACTACCCTCTCCTAACCCATTCTCCCCTGTACAGCCAGAGAGACCCTACCAAAAACATAAACCAGGTCACGTCAGCCCCTTGCTTAGTGGCTTCCCGCTGCACTTAGTCCACGTTGGCACTTCTTACTCTGAGGTGCCCGGCCGGCCCTTGTCATCCTCTCCAACCTCCTGTCCTTGCTCATCATGCTTCTGTCAGGTTGGAGCCCCATCAGTTCCTCAGACATGCCAAGTGCCCCTTGGTAGACCTTCTCTCTGCTCACCAGCCCCCTGCCCCATTCTTCTCATAGAAGGATCCTTCTCAAATATCCATCTCAGCCAAAATACTCCGTGGAGGGGCCGTCCTGTTCAGCC